CCTCTTTATACTTAGACTAGAATCAATAACTAGTTTATCTTAGCTGACTCCGTCACTCCATCAGTAATTACGATAGTACAGGAATATTAACCTGTTGTCCATCGACTACGCCTTTCGGCCTCGCCTTAGGCCCCGACTAACCCAGGGTAGACGACCTTCACCCTGGAAACCTTGGTCTTACGGCCAGAAGGATTCTCACCTTCTATCGTTACTCACGCCGGCATTCTCACTAGCAAAAACTCCATTAGTCCTCACGGTCTAACTTCAATGCTTTTACTACGCTCCCCTACCGCTAGTTGGCAACAGAAAAATATTAAATTAAAAATAATTCTTTTATTACCAACTAGCCTATGGCTTCGGTATAGTATTTGAGCCCCCTTACATTCTCGGCACTGCCAGACTAGACTAGTGAGCTGTTACGCACTCTTTAAAGGATGGCTGCTTCTAAGCCAACCTCCTAGCTGTTTTCGTCTTGCAACTTCCTTCTACACTTAATACTATTTAGGGACCTTAGCCGATAATCTGGGCTGTTTCCCTCACGTCCATGGAGCTTATCCCCCATAGACTGACTACAAGATAATACAATAATGGTATTCGGAGTTTAATTATAGGCGGTACCCGGTTAAGGACCCTTCTATATTCAGTGCTCTACCCCCACTATCTTCACTCTTGTGCTAGTCTTACAACTATATCGGGGAGAACCAGCTATCTCTAGGTTCGGTAAGCTTTTCACTCCTAACCACAAGTCATCCAAGCACATTTCAACGGGCACTGGTTCGGCCCTCCATTAGGTTTTATCCTAATTTCAGCCTGCTCATGGTTAGCTCACCTAGTTTCGGGTCTATAATCATTGACTATACGCTCTATTAAAACTCGCTTTCGCTACGGCTCCATTTCCAAGAAACTTAACCTTGCCAATAATTATAACTCGCCGGCTCATTCTGCAAAAAGCACGCTATTAGGCTTTAACGCCCTTTAACTTCTTGTAAGTGTTATGGTTTCAGGTTCTATTTCACTCCCCTTCCGGGGTTCTTTTCACCTTTCCCTCACGGTACTAGTTCACTATCGGTGACTAATTAGTATTTAGCCTTACGGGGTGGCCCCCGTGACTTCCCACAAGATTTCACGTGTCTCGTGGTACTCAGGATGAAACGAAGAGAATCACTTATTTCGAATACCGGACTTTCACCTTCTTTGGTTTGGCTTTCCAGCCACTTCTTCTATAAGTAATTTTGTTAACTCCTAATTCGTTTTCCTCTGACCCCAACTGATAAATCAATTGGTTTAGGCTGTTCCCCGTTCGCTCGCCACTACTTAGGGAATCATTATTTATTTTCTTTTCCTCCGGGTACTAAGATGTTTCAGTTCTCCGGGTTTGCTTCTAAGTATATAATACCTAGATATTACCACATTACTGGCAATGGGTTGCCCCATTCGGAAATTTCCGGATCATAGTTTATTTTCCAACTCCCCGAAACTTATCGCAGGATATCACGTCCTTCGTCGCCTATTAGTCCCAAGGCATCCACCATACACTCTTAATAACTTATTTTTTCGGTAAAATCTTTTTTGCGTTCAGTTTTCAAAGAAAGAGAGATAAATATATCCCTCAAAATTAAGTGGAAGAGACCCTAACTTATTTTTCAAAGATATATTGTATAATTATAATTTTAATGAACTTTTACTTAATTGATATAATAATATTTTAACTAATATCCATTTCTATCACTAGAAAAAAATACAATATCGGGAGAGATTAGTCTCTCTCCCTTTTTTAGAAGTTGTATAGACAATTTACTTAATTGGTCATAACTATAAATTATTTTTTTCTAACTTTTTCCTTCCCGCGGTTTTGCGACCTTCTAAGTATTTTTCTCGTTCTTTAAAGCCCGTGCCAATTGGAACTAATTGTCCAGCAATTAAGTTTTCTTTGACTCCTTGCAAATAATCGACCGGTTGATATAAAGAATAATTAACTAAACTTTTCAAGGTGTTTTGGAAGGATATCCCCGCTAAAAAAGAAGGGGGGGACGAAGCTAAATCTTTTAAACTAGAGATAATGTTTTTAAATAAAATAGGTTTTTTTTTCGCTTTTATTAGCAACTCATTAGTTTTTTGAATGGTTTGATAATCAACTATATCACCGAGCAGATAATCATCATTGTCTGACTCAATAATTTCTACTCGGGATAACATTTGTCGAGCAAATATTTCAATGTGCTTGTCGTCAATGTCAATACCTTGATTGTCATAAACAAGTTTTATCCCCTCTTTAATATATTTCTGACACCTTTCCCGCCCCACAATTTCTAGGTACTCTTCTAAATCAATTTTTCCGCTCGTAAGTCTGGTTCCCAGTATTACTTTTTCTCCTTTTTTCACTCGGACTTTTTTTTCCGGCTCGTAAGAATAAATAATTTCTTCACCTTTTTCACTTTTTTGCTTAATCACCTCTTCCTCAACGCTACTTATCGTTCCGTTACATTTAGCCAAAATGGCTTTTTCTTTTTTTTCCGGCTTAATATTATCGAATATTTGTTTAACTTTTGGTAAACCTTGAATAATGTCTTCATCACCAGCAATTCCTCCAGCATGGAAAGTTCGCATAGTTAATTGAGTTCCGGGTTCACCCAAAGATTGAGCAGCAATAATTCCCACAGCGGTTCCCATGGCAATTTGCTCACTAGGTTTACTTAAATCTAATCCATAACATTTTTGGCAAACTCCACTTACTAGTTCACAAGTTAAAGTTGAACGAACTCAGGTGCTAGTAATTTTGTTTTCTTGAATAACTTTGCTTTCGGCTGCCAATAAAATTTGGTTAGCCGAGCAGATAACTTCTTTCTTTTTATTGGTAATATCGTTTAGTAAATAACGACCATAAATTTTTGTAACTAAAACATTAGAGTCATTTTCTTCTACCAATACTCCTGAATTGGTTCCGCAATCGGGTGAATTAACAATAATCCCTTGGGTCGACTCTACCAAGCGCCGAGTCAAATAACCTGCCTCAGCTGTTTTCAAAGCAATATCGACCATTCCTTTGACCGCACCATAAACTGAAGTAAAGAATTCAAAAGGGGTTAAACCTTCCCAAAGGGAAGAAATAATGGGTGTTTCAATAATTTCTCCTAAGTAGTTAGTAGTATTGCCCCGCATAGCAAATATTTGGGTTAAGTTTTCACTACTAGCCCGTGCTCCTGAATCCCAAATATGATAAATAGAAGTATTACTTTTCTTGGCTAGATTACTGATTAATTGTTCTTGGAGGTTATCTTTACATTCCTCTCACACCGTAATTTTTTTTTGCTTGTTTTCTTCTTCACTGTAAAATCCTTGGGAATAATAGTTATCTATTTCTTTAATTTTCTGTTCGGCTCGGGCCAATTCTTTTCTTTTAACCACTACTTCTCCTAATTCAAACGGGGAAATACTGATTCCCGAGTAAGTAGCGTAGCGGAAACTAATTTCTTTTAAATTATCTAGAAATTTGACCATTTCTTCGTGCGGAGTTATTTTTACTAATCGGTTCAAGAAATTAACGAGGTCTTTTTTCTTTCAGCCGGTCAAAGGAAAATGCTTTTTTCAACTTTTTTCCACTTCATTTATTTCTACGGTTGCTTCTTTATATTCTTCTTCTGTTTGATTATAAATTTCTAGATTATTCAAGTAATAAGGGAAAGAGGCTGGTAATATTTGGTTAAAAAGCAACTTGCCGAGAGTGGTGAAAAAGAATTGGTTTTTTTGGTTAGTAAAATTGCGTCCAGTTAGGCAAGTTGGGATAACAATAAGCTCATGCAAACCCAATTGGTTTTGTTCATATTTTTTTCAAATACTGCCTATTTCGTCGTAGAATTTAGGAGTTGTTTCTTTCTTTTCCTGGGTTAAGTAATAGATACCTAAAATCATGTCCTGGCTCGGCATATCGATTAGATGACCGTTTTTGGGGTCAACTAGGTTGTGGGAAGATAAAACCGATTCTTTTACTTCTTTACAAGTACTTTTGGTTAACGGCAAATAGATAGCTATTTGGTCACCGTCAAAGTCCGCGTTTAAAGCGGAAGTTATTAAGGGATGTAATTCAATGGCTTTACCCAAAGTTAGTCGCGGATAAAATCCCTGAATACTAAGCCGGTGCAAACTAGGAGCCCGGTTAGCTAACACCGGATGATTAGCAATTATTTTGTCTAAGAGTGAGAAAATAATGGGGTCTTTTTTAATCAGTAATTGGTCGGCCTCTTTGACGGTAAAAACAATTTTTTCTTTTAATATTTGCTGAATAATAAACGGTTTATAAAGAACCAGTGCCATTTGAACTGGTAAGCCAATTTGAGTTAGCAATAAATTTGGGTTAGGAACAATTACCGAACGAGCCGAGTAATCGACTCTTTTTCCTAAGGAGTAACGCCGTAATATTCCTTCTTTACCACTTAAATTTTGTAATAGACTTTTGGTCTCATTTTGTACACGCGGAGAACCTTGGAGTAATTGGTCGACTGATTTTTGTAATCTTCTTTTAACGTTGTGAATAATTTCCCCAAAAAAAACTTTCTTTTCATACTTTTGGTTTCATTCTTGATAATAGTTCACTCGTTCATCAGTCAAAATTACTTTGCGCTGCAGGTTATTAATTTGGGTAGTAACTACCGTGTCTTCTTCTTTTAATTTGGTTACTGGTCGCAATCCACAAGGTATTACTGGTAAGTCACGAATAATCATTCATTCCAATTTAAGGTCATTTTTTAAGAGTGCTTGACAAAACTTTATTTTTTCCTGATTAGTTTTCGTGTCCGGCTTGGAGTCGCTTTTGGCTTTTTCTAATTCTTGAACTAAATCGATTCCTTTTAATAACTCTTCAAAAGCCTCCGAACCAGTTTTGATTTTGATGTGGCGATATTTTTCCACGAAGTCCAAATAATCCTCTCAAAAAATAATTTTTTTGCTGTCCGAATCTTTATTAGCAATTTTTTCTTGGAGAACGGCTGCTAATTCCTGGGCTTGTTTAACAATTTTTTTTTCTTCCTCTTTATACTTTTTAGCAACCTTTTTCAGATTTTCCTGGTCAGTGATAATTTCTTGTAAAATACTATTCATCAAGGACAAGTCAATTTCTTTTTCTAATATATCTTTTTTTTTTAGTAAATTAGTTAAACCGTTGTCAGCCACGGTATAAGCCCGAAAATAAATAATATCTTCTAATTTTTTGGCCGGAATTTCCAGTAGTTTGCTCAAATTGGCCGCTAAACTTTTGAAAAGTAAGATATTAGTAACCGGAGTGTTAAGAGTAATGTGACCCATACGCCAGCGTTGAATATTTTTTTCGGCGATTAAAACTTCACATCTTTCACATTTTTGTCCTTGGTTTTCTTTGCCTTTGTATTTGCCACAATAACATTCATAATTAAGAAAAGGACCGAAAACACGAGGGTCGAAAAGTCCGCCTAATTCCGGTTTAAAAGTTCGGGTATTTACTACCTTATGGCTAGTAATTCTACCAAAGGAAATTTGTTTAATTTTTTGGGGGGAAAGCCAAGTAATTTTTAAGGATTTAATTAAGGACATATTTTTTTAATTTTTGCTGAAATATTTGTAAAAGTCGATTTCTCGGCCTTGATAATCGGTGGCTTGGAGGTCAAAACCAATGCCACGTAAATATTGTAATAAAAGGTTGAAGGATTCACTTTGACTATTTCGTAATTCTATTTGTCGTTTATCGAAAAGTAAATTATTTTGCATTAGCCGACGTTTATAGATATCATCCGACTTGGCACTCATCATTTCCATTAAGTTGTAGGCCGCACCGTGAGCTTCTAAGGCTCAACATTCCATTTCTCCCACTCGTTGACCACCACCTTGGGACCGACCTTTTAACGGCTGTTGATAAATTAAAGAATAGGGGCCGGTATTACGAGCATGTATTTTATCAAATACCATATGATTTAATTTGACGGTATAAATATAGCCAGTATAAATGTTTTGGTGAAAAGGTAAGCCCGTTTGACCGTCAAATAGTTTTTGGGCACCGAAATTTTTTATTTCGGCCTCGTGAATAATTTCTTTAATAGTTTCAAGGGAAGGAGTATCAAAAGGTCTAATCAGAAACTTACTATTTAGTTTAAAAGCGGCGGCGGCTAGTATCGTTTCTAATAATTGGCCAATATTCATTCGGGTCGGAATACCTAAGGGGTTAAAAATTATATCAATAGTTTTTCCTTCGTCATCAAATGGCATATCAATTTCGGGAACGATTTTGGCGACCACTCCTTTATTACCAAAGCGGGTCGTTAATTTATCACCCACTTCGATTTTTCTTGCTTGGGAGATATAAATTTCCACCACTTCTAACTCTTTCTTATTGCGGGAGAGTTTTTTGCGTTTGACATCGTAGACTGTACCTTTTTCACCAGTTGGCAAATAAAGAGAAGAATCAACAAATCTTTGGGCTTTTTCACCCAAGATACTTAATAAAAGCAATTCTTCTTCGGTTTCTTGGCGCAAACCTGGTTCCGGAGTTATTTTGCCAACTAAAATGTCGTTTTCTTTCACTTCACTACCAACTTTGACGATACCATCTTTGTCGAGATGAGGAAATTGGTTTTTTTCAGCATAGGGCAGGGAGGAAACAAATTTTTCTTCGCCATATTTGGTATTACGACGAATAATAAGATGCTTTTTGACAAATAAAGAGGTTAATATGTCTTCTTTTACCAGTCGTTCATTAAGAATAATCGCGTCCTCATAGTTATAACCGTTTCAACATAAATAAGCTACTCGCAAATTATATCCTAACGATAATTCACCGTTGTTAGCATAATTACCGCTGGCAATTATTTGTCCTTTCCCGACTTTTTCACCTTTTTTGACTAACGGAAAGGAAAAATTAAGTAAATTTTTATTGGAAATGGCTAATTGACTTAAATTATAGGTTTTTTTGTCCTTGCCGGTTTCCTTAATAACAATTTGGCAACTATCAACATAATCAACTTGACCTTTTTCCTCGGCCCGAATTAACAACGAGGAATTTTCGTTCAAACTGGCCTCGACACCGCTGGCAATTAACGGTTCCTGACTTTTCAGTAAAGTTACAGCTTGCCTTTGCATATTAGTTGCCATTAGCATCCGGGTAGCGTCATTATGATGAAAAAAAGGAATAATAGCACTAGTAATCGAGTTTAACTGGTAAAAAGAACTATCGATATAATTTATTTTTTCGGTTGGCACTTGAACTAAATTTCCTTGGTAACGAGCGGCCACTACCTCATCTAAAATTCGGTTTTTTTTATCAATTCTAATATTGCAGTGAGCGATATATTTATCCGACTCTTCCTCACTGGCTAAATAAACTAATTGCGAACTAATTATCCCTTTCTCGACTGAATAATAAGGGGTTATCGCTTGTCCATAATCATTTATTTCTGTTCCCATAGCTAAATTATGAATTAAGCCAACCCTTTGTCCTTCGGGAGTTTCTACCAAATCATAACGACCATAATAAGAAGAATTAATATTACGAGCGGCCAAAGTAGTATTAGCCGAACTAAATCCACCTAGTCCTAAAACACTTAATTTACGTGCATAAGAAATTTCTGATAAAGGATTATTTTGGTTTTGAAGTTGCACTAAAGCGGAAGTATTAAAAAAATCCTTCAATAAGTTATCAAAATCCTTTAAATTAGGAATTTTGGTCAAGTCAGCTTTTTTTAACTGAGAAATATTGGCCAAATATTTACTATTTATATCTTGGAGAAAACCACCTAACTTGTTATTAAAAATATTATAAATTAGATCACCAACTCGGCGAATAACTTGATTTTCTAATTTATCTTTGTCTTCTTCTCGTTCAGTTTTTCCTAAGCCGTGGGGAAGGTTGAGATAAAAAGCAATCGAACAAACTAAATCACTGAGGTCGAAATAAGTTTTTTCTTCGGATATTTCCTCGACTATTCCTACGATTGTTATTACTTCTTCTTTATTGTGCGGCGAATTTATTTTTAAGCAATACAATTCATTATTTGAGCCAGGCAGAGAAATAGTGCTTATTTTTTTTTGGGCTAAGGCTCGTCGCAGTACTTGGAGGTTTTTTTCAGTCAAAATAGTATTTTTGCTTAATACTACTTGGCTTTTAACATCGCATACATTTTCAGCTAATACTTGTCCGATTACTTGCGGTCAAATCAACATTTTTTGATTAAATTTTTTCCGTCCTAATTTACCAAAATCAAAATAAGAGTTTTTTTTGGTAAAGAGAAATTTTGGCAAGTTTACTCCTGCTTCCAAACTTTTGGCTGAGGAGTAATTACTAATATCTAAATCGGCTCTATTAAATAAAATTTCCAAAGTTTCGGCGGGCACTTCCCAAGTTTTTAGCAAGTCTAAGAAATTAATAACTAAGACAGAATTAGGGAATTTTAGTTCAATGGTTTTCGGATGTTGAGTACTAGTTGCAAATCTAATTCAAGAGCCTTTGGCAGGAATGATTTCGCCGTAATATTTTTTCTCACTGTCAGTAAAATAATAAATTGAAGGAGCCCGCACGGACTGAAAAACTACTACTTTATCATGACCATTAATAATAAAATTTCCTTGCGAATTTATTTTCGGCAAATGACAGAAAAGTATTTCTTTTTCTTGCTGATAATGAAAGGAAACTACTAAATGATTGTCGTTTTTTTCTTTAATCTCAATTTCTATTTTGGTAGTACTTTTCTTCTCTTTTATTTCTCATTTTTGTTCCGATTTTTGCCGCAAAGCAAATTTACCAATATTAAAACTTTTTTCTACCCAGTCACTAATATCTTCTTTTAACTCTTTTGCCCCGAGTGGAATTTGGATAGTGTGACACTTTCAATCGGCTATTCAGTTAAGATAAATGTTATGGCCTCAGGTAAGAGAGTGATTACGTGCCTCTTCCTGACTAATTTTAGGTTCTTGATGATGAAATTTTTCAATATTTAATTCAATAGTGTTATTATGGTCACTACAATTAAACGGAAAATAAAAATTCAATAGTTCATTTAATCTTCGGTCAAGAAAATCATAATAAGAGGACTTTTGCTCGTGGGCAAAATCTCGTTGGGGTAAAGTTTGGAAAAGTGGAGAATTGTTAAGAGTGAGATATTGACGACGCTGATTTTTTCCGGAAGTGATTAGACGATACGATGACATTAATTAGATTATTTGATTTCGACTGTAACTCCTTCGTTTTCCAATTGTTTTTTAACTCCTTCGGCTTTGTCACGCGGAATGTCGGTAAAAATAACTTTATCCTCTTTTTCCATAATCTTTTTGGCTTGGATAATATTAATATCTTCACCTTTTAATTGCTTAACTGAATCTTTGATTATTCCATAAATTTTTATTTTATTGACCGTCTCTTTTATTCCTAATAATTTTAACGAGACATTACCGCCTTTTTCTTCGACTTTTTCGCTGGTTGGGGCGGAGCCGGTCGATTGTATTACCGCATCTTCTTTAATATTATACTTTTCTTTGATTTTATCAACTAATTCACTGATTTTTCCCAAATTTAGTTGGTCTATTTTTTCGACAATTTCGTTTATTTCCTTACTACTTTGCTTTTCATTCATATACTTTTTTATTGGGGTGGGTTGATTTTTTGGAGAACATTAACTAGTCTTCTGGTGTGAAAGTTGAGATAATAACCCAAGGTATTGATTAAAACTTCTTTACTTGGCAAGTTAGCCCATTTTTCTAAAAGTTCATTACTTATTAATTTTTGCTCGTAAATACCGCCGTGAAATCTTTTGATATCAGCGTTTTCTTTATTAAATTGGTGGAGAATACTTAACGGTTTATATTCATCTTGGTGACAAAAGATAAAGGCATTGGCCTGTTGCAGGTTCAGAGAATAACTTGGCACGGCTTTCATTACTAAATTATTTTTGTAGACTTTTCAATAACTTCCAACCTTTTTTAGTTCTTTTTTGAGAGCAAAAATATCTTCATTTTCGACCTGGTGAAAATTAAAAAAAATAATGGCTTTGGCTCCTTGGAAATTAGTTTGGATATCTCGAACAATTGCTTCTTTCTCCCCACTTACCGACATATATAATATTATTTTAGTCTTTTTCTTTTTTTTCCGTGTACTATTAGAGTGCCAATTATTAGCCCGAAAATAACTGTTGCTCCCACGCCAATCGCTATTTTGGCTGGTCGAGGAAGTCCGTTATTACTTTCTTCTGGTGATGATTTAACGGAAAGTTTCTTCATTGCTCGTTCGAGGGCTTGCACAAACTCACTAATTTTCTGCTTATCATCTAATTTCTCTAAATATTGTCATCACATTTCTTTTTCGCCCCAAACTTTTTTGACATCTTCGACTTTGATACCATATTTAGTAAATAATTCCCGAATCTTTTTTTTAGCAATATTGCGAGCTACTGCCAGCGAGGGAGCGTTAATTATTTCGTTGGTATCAACGCTATCATTATTATTTTTCTGGTTATCTTGTGGTGTGCTTGGTGAACTTGGCGACGAAGTTTTATTATTTTCTTCCTCGTTGGCTTTTATTCCGACTTTTTTCAGAGTTTCCAGCAAAGCGTTTTTATAAGCGATTACTTGGTCGTGGCTGGCTAGTCCGGCGATATCCTTTTCCCAATTTTGGTATTTACCGCTCTCCAAAGTATTTAAATCAATATTTTTTAAATTATCTTTATCGGTAAGAATTTGGTTTATTTCAGCGATTACTTGCTTTTTTAACTGGCCTAATTCATCAGTCGGAAGAGGTTTTTTACCGTTTTTCTCCGCGGCTAAATTTTGCTGGTTGCTATTATATATTAGGTTGATATTTTCTTTAATATTCAGTTTTCGGTGCCGAATTTGCTCGTTGGTAGCGAGAATTTGGCGATTAGTCGGATTATCCACGGCTAGACTTTCATCTAGTTCGGTGAAAAATTCTTCCTGGAAGTAGTCCAAAGCATCATCCGAGATTTCGGCTAAATTTAATCCT